TCTGAGGTTTGACAGTCTGTTCTGTGCCTCTATGTCTCTGGATCTTTTTTGTTCATCAGTTTATTTTGTTCATCAGATTCCACATATGAGTGAGATTATGTGATACTTGTCTTTCTCTGACTGGCTTATTTCCCTGTTGTACCTCAACTTAGTGTTGCAGATTTGGGGAAATGACTTAACCTTTCACAGTTAAAGCCACTGTGATCTTTCAGGTGTTTCAATACTGGGAAAGACTGTGATTCCAAGGACACCTCAAGGAGCAGCTTCCCTGGTAACTAACGTTGTGACAGGCTTGTAGCTGCTGATTGGACAGTATGATTGGACAGTGACTCTTTACAGGGAGGAATGTCACTCACTGAAGGAAATGGAAAGTTGTTCAATAACTTATCCTGAGTGAAAAGGTTTTTCAGGTTTCTCTCCTGGTGCTGTCACTGAGCTCAGGGCACCTCTGCAATACACTCGGAGAAAGGGCTTAGAACATGACATCCATGAAGGAGAAAAATAAAAGAATGAAAAGGCAGTTGAAGTACTGAGGAAGAAATCACTAAGAAATTGTTAAAAAAATAATGGTATGAAGTGATATGAAAAAATAGCAAATAAAGTTTCAAAACATATAATAGAGAACTGAAATGCATAAATATGTCACAATATATATTTATATACTGTATATGAGGCCCTTAGAACCATAAGAAATGCAAAACATTCACTGTGAATAAATTATTCTTGAATTACCCCCCTTAAAAATCAAATTACCCCCCTGTGAGGCATATGCCCCACGTTGAGAACCACTGTCTTAAATTTTCCCATCACTAGAAAAGTTTAGTAACTATGTGTGGCATAGATGTTACCCAGACTTACTGTGGTTGTCATTTCCAATCTAAACAAATATCCAATCTTTACGTTGTACACCTGAAACTAATATAACGCCATATGTCAATTATACCTCCACATAAAAGTGAGTAAAATTTATTGAGCATTTCTGAGCATTTTACTCCATAACCAGAATATTCAGGGGCTTTCTTTGCATCAGATTTTTGTTTAATATCTCGGTGAGCTAAGTGCCCTTCATCCCTACAGTTGGAGAGAATAGAGTGATTGCGGTTGAAGGACCTTTGCAAGGACACAGGCAGTAAAGGTGCCCTCCAGGTTGAGCCCAGCGATGTGGTTCAGACCCACACGCTCAGCCACTGCACCCACCACCTCGCATTCACCTTCTGAAGAGACTGTTCCTCCAGGGAAAGCACTCCCCTCCCTCACTCACAGATGTGCACGCCCACAAGCTACTCCTCTCAGTGAGTGACCGCATTTCCCATAAACTGAGGCGGCTGCAGCAGAGCAATTCCGGTTCCTGGACAAGATTCCCGCCTCACCATTGTCCCCTTCTCTGGAAATGACAAGCTTTGTATTTATCTTATGTAAGGACACCCAGAGCTCCCGCACACACCTTCTCCTTCTTAAAGACAACGGTTCCCCCAATTCCTAAACTCAACCACTATTCTCATCAGGATTTCAGGCTTTTCAGCATGTTGAGTGCAAGGTAGACCCCCTGAAATCAGACCAGAAAGTGTGTCTCACTTACTTTGGGAAAATATGTTTCTGTTAATGTGGAAAAGTCAGAATTTCTTGGCGAGGTTGGGAAGAAATCACTCCTGTTCCTGGATTTGAGAACAAACTCTGTCCCTAGACCCCAGTGGTAATTCAGTACTGTGGGCAGGTATACAGAGGCAACTAGGAGAATATCACTTTTAATTTAGCAAACAGACAATCATAACTTACTAAAAATTCACTAATCGCGATGTGTGACAGTCTGGGAAAGACATGCTAAGGTCCACATTAGATTTGGATGAAAAAGAATGGCAAACAAAGCAATTCAATATAAAGAATACACTGAGATATAGTCAAAGAGAACACTATCAAATGTGTTTATACAAATTTGACATAAATTTACAAATCACAGCAATTTATTTTAAAAAGAACGGACAGCCCTGCTGGTGTGGGTCAGTGGTTGAGCGTCGTACTGTGCACTGAAAGGGGGCCAGTTTGATTCCCTGTCAGGGCACATGCCCGGGTTTCGGGTTCAGTCCCCGGTCCAGTGTGTACAGGAGGCAACAGATAATGTTTCTCTCTCACATCAATGTTTCTTTCTCTCTTAAATAAATTTTTTTAAAAAAAGAATGTATCAACAACTGTGGTTTAAATTCTGTATGCTGTCCAGTTATGTGTGACAAAACCTGCTGCTTTTATATCTCACTTTTCCTCAAGCTGACTCAATAGAAGGAGAGTTCAGGTAAAGCAACTAACAGCTGCCCCCACAGGGTCAGTCCTGCAGGTGGCCCCAGGCCGGACCTCCCACTGAGCAGGAGGGGAGGCAGCCCTGCTCTGCTCCACAGGAAACTTGGGCTCCATCCTAGGAAACAGCTCTTGACTTGGTTTCTGGGGGACAGTGGTAGTCAGTTCAGAAGTTGTACAGTCTCTGATCTTCACTCTTGGGGCCACAGCTTTGTGTTTAAGGAAAATGCATCACAACATCTTGGGAAGAAACTAGTAAAATCAGAAGCACAGATTTTAAAAAAATATATAGTTTTAGTTGCTTTCAGGGAGGAAAGGAGAAGGTGAGAGACACAGAAACATCAAATGGGGGGTTCAAACCTGAAACCAGGGCATGTGTCCTGTCCAGGAATCAAACCTTGACCTGGTTCATAGGTCGATGCTCAACCACGGAGCCACCCCGGCTCGGCCAGAAACACAGATTTTTGTGGAACAACAGGCAGCTTGCCATCGGCAGCATCACACAAGGTCTTGAGCCCTCCCGTGTCACCCCATGGACTCACCTGTGTTAAGCCTGTAGGTTGCAATAAATCTGGGAAACGAGTGTTTTGTGATCAGCACAGGCAGCATTGAGTATCTGCCCGGGGTCCACTCGGAGGCAACCGGGTCAATCCGCTTGGAGAGATAGGCTACTGGTCTTTGCAGGGTCCAGACTCCTGGGTTAGAACTCCTAGGGCTACCCCGCTGTTCTCGTGAACAAAAAGATTAAAGTCCTGCATCACATCTGGTAGCCCCAGTGCCGGGGCCTCAGTGAGCTTTGCCTTTATGGTGATGAAGGCTTTCTCCTGCTCGGGACCCCAGTCGATGGGTGCCTTCTCTTCCCCTCTTAAAGCTTCATAGAGAGGCTTGGCCAGGTCTGAAAACCCTGGGATCCAAATTCAACAGAACCCTACCGCTCCCAGGAATTCCCGAATCTGCCGCCTGGTGCTAGGGACTGGGATGGCGCATACGGCCTGCTTCCTTTCAGTCCCTAGACTTCGTTTCCCTCGGGTGATCCGGAAGCCTAGATACTTGAGTTCTTTCTGACAAATCTGTGCCTTTTTCTTAGACACCCGAAAACCTGTTTCAATTAATAGTTCCAGAAGGGCTTGTGTTCCCTCCCAGCACTGAGCTCATGTGGAGCTGGCCAGTAGGAGGTCGTCTACATATTGGAGTAGAACACACCCCAAGTCCTGTCCTGGGAACTTAGACAGATCAGATGCTAGTGCTCTACTAAAAAGATTAGGGGATCTCTTGAACCCTTGTGGCAGTCTGGTCCAGGTGAACTGCTCCTTGGCCCCTGTAGTTGGGTTTTCCCATTCGAAAGCGAAGAGAGGCTGACTGGAAGGCACTAATCGAAGACAGAAAAAGGCATCTTTTAGATCTAGGCATGTAAACCATTCCGCCTCTGATGGGATGAGTCCCAGAAGAGTGTAGGGGTTCGGCAATGCTGAATACAGGGTTATAACAGCCTCATTAACAGCCTGTAGATCCTGCACTGGGTGGTAGTTGTTAGTCCCAGGCTTTTTGACAAGCTAGAGAGGCATGTTCCATGGAGACCTGCATTGTTTAAAAAGTCCCCACTGAAGCAGCTGGTCTAAGTGGACCTGGATTCCTAGGCATGCTTCCCTTGGAATTGAATATTGGTGGATTTTAACAGGCTGTGCCCCAGGCTTTAAC